GGACAAGCTCAGCCCTTGATGGCGCCCTCGAGAAAGAGGGGGGTTCAAGACAAGCCCTTGGGGGTGCTCCCCCGGTCCCTCCGCCCTCCAGCCCCTGCTCTGCCTCCGAAGGCCTCTGGCTCCCCATCTCCTGTCACCTCTCTGGCCAGCTGGCCTCAGAGGTTTTGACCTGATTCTGGGGACACACGGGAGGGCTCAGGCAGGCCCAGGGGACGCAGGCCTGGCGAGGATGGGAGAGGTTTAGCCACTGAGGGCCCAGGAGGTGGGGGTACCTGGGAGGGGGAGGGGACACCTGGGCCTGGAGGGGTGGCGGCAGCACCTGGCAGGGCTGGCCCTCCCTGCACCCCTGCTGGTCGCCATGGCAGCTGAGAGCTCAGGGAGCCAGCCTCACCTCTCCCGCTCCCCCTCCCCCTCCCCCTGCAGGTGGAGCCGCCGGAGTTGCCGGAGGACCTGCAGCACTGGATCGCCTACAACGACGCCAGCAGCCGGCTGCTCCGGGCCGAGAGCGGGCTCAGCGACCACGTTGTCAAGGACCAGTGACCATCCCTGCCCGCCAGCCACTACCTGGGCAGCCGCCCGCCCGTCCCCGCCTGCCAGGAGGCCGACACTGCAGAATGGGGGGGCGGCCCGGGCTCTCCAAGCTGAGGGAGCCTGTGACAGCCCAGCCCCCTTCGCTTGCTCGGCCCTCCCCGATCCCCATAATTGACGCCCCTCTGAGAGCCTCCCCACTGAGCATGGGTGGGTGACCTGGGCGCCCTGACCTGTCTCGGTCCTGCGGGTGGAGGCGGTGAGTGCAGAGGGAGGCCCAGGGTCCTGGGCGCTGGGACTGGGTTGGGGGGTGCCAGGCTTCCATGGGCCCGAGTCCAGAGATCGCTCGGAGCTTAGGGAGCACCTGGAGCCCCACTGGGCACCGAGCCCGCAGTCGGAGATAGTGGGGGAGGGGGGCCCAATTGCCGCCAGCATCTCAGGCCCATCCCTCCCTCGGGCTGCAGGTGAGGGGGTGGTAGGCCTGGGGTGGAGTCTAGCGGGTCAGAGGCCGTGGGGCTCCTGTGCAGGTGGCGAGCTTCCTAAAGTTGGGGGTGCCCTCTGCACCCGCCCTCACTGTCTGCATTCCTTGGTCCCATTGGGGTGTGCTGTGTGCCCACGGGTGGGGCCCTGCCCTCTCTGGCCCTCCCACTGGCTGGCCTTGCCTCGCACCCTGTTCTGCTGCCCATCTCCCCTTCTTCTGGGAGGGGCTGGGAGGGGTCTTCTGGGTTCCACCCCAGTGGCCTGGCCGGGAGCTGCCCTCGAGGCTCCCTGATGGA